TATATATATATATATATATATATATATATGTATGTATATATATAGATATCTCATTCAACTTCTCTCGCATACAAACCGCGGAATGATTCGCGATGAATACAACTATACAACTATCCCTTCGAATCGTCTCGTGATAAAAATTCTGTACAATTCGATCGTTCGAACATTAAACAGGAATAACGGCGATTCTACGCTATACGCAGAACGAAGATTCACTCTGACGGGCTCGCGATGACAAACCCGTGCAGAGCACATGGAGAGATCAACCGACCGCACGATATAAAGAACGCAACCATGTGACGTCCTTCGGATTTTATATATGCGATTGTTTAATGTTTCCATGTATGCGCGTTATGCAAATCCGACACGTACGTGTACTGATATTACGTTGCGTTGGTTGCTGCACAAGAAAGAAACAATTCGGAAAAATCATCTATTATCGTTACGTTTTCTATACGCACAAATCATCGGGAATGTTATTGCACCGTGATTCGACGAAAAGCCGAGCTTATGCTCGAAACGGGAAGGGAACGTGCTCGCTTCTTTCTCTCTTTCTCGACTATTAACCTCATCTTAATTAAAACGCATTATTTACAATATTTAAAACAACAAGTCCTCGTCACCCTCGTCGAGCATGTTCGCGGCCTCCAGCATGTGCCCGGCCGCAATCATTTCCGCTCTCTCCGCTTCGACCTGTAAGAGAGAGATTCGGATATCAGAAATAATACAATCATCTTCCATTTCAAGAGTCACTCGATAAATTATCGTCGAATAGTAAACAATAATGTTATATTATTACATAGTCCTCTTAGAAGCTAAACTTATGCGTCAACCTCACTTTCTGTTTAAAAAAATCAAATTATTAAATAATTTTAATGAACTTAATTAAATAATGAAATTTAGTTAAAACATATATCTGTTAAATTTCATAGTATTACAAAATTACGCATCAACCGTGTACTCTGGTGGTAAAATTGAGAAATTTACGGAAAACTTAATTGTAATCAAATAATAATGGATAAAATGATTACATAAATTTAAGAGGAAAAAAGATAAAGAGTTGATCAATTTGGCTTTCGATAGGCTCATATTATCGACGTGATCACACGTGATCGTACCTTCGCCTTGGCTACCTTCTTCTTATCCTGGATCTTCTTCAGCCGATAGAACTCCTCTCGCTCGAGCTCGTCGAGTTCCGAGATGATGTACGCGAGAGTTCTCTCTATTCGCGGAATGATGACGTGTTCGATCGCATTGACGCGGCGATTCGTGATCTTGATCACCTCGTCGAGGGTGACGAAGCTCGTCTGTAGCGACGCCAGTTCCACCAGCAACTTCACCGCCCGCTGGTAGTTTTTCTTCAGCTTCGCCAACTGCTGACCACCTCTGGCCAGACCGGCCAGTTCGTATGTGTCCGTTCCATCCTGGTAAGACTCGAACACCGGGAGGTTCACGCCGGCGACGTTGTCCTTCTTGGAGCGTATCTTGATCTGCGCCTTCGTCACGTTCTGCAGCACCACCTGATTGAAGTCTCCGGTCGCGAACTTCGCCTCGGCCAGAGAGAAGGCGGCTTCCTTCATCACTTCACCCATTAAGGTTTTAGTCTGGAAGTGATATCACGAATTGAGAGATAATGACAGGCATAGAATTGCCAGAGTTGAGTTAGCGGCTTTGAAAACTGGAAAACTGTCATTCTGCGAGAGACATCAGACTCATTGAAATTCTGATGATTCTTGCCTGAGGTACGTTTGTGTCTTGTTAAAAACAACAGAGGTATTGAAAGAAGATACTTTATTTAATGGAGCCAGTACCTCAATAATATTCCCCAGAATCATCCTGAAACGCATCTGCAAGGCGTCAGCTTTCTTCTTCAAGAGGCCATGGCCCTTCTGCGCGCCGTGTAGACGAGACTTCATCAACATCTGCGCCCTAATGGACAAATGCATGGGATTAAACTAACTAAAGTAAGTGGCGAGTAAAACCAAGAAACCGGATAGCAGGTAAAAGTAAGAAATGAATCGTTGATGTACTCCATGTACTATCTGCAAATCCTTCTCCCTGGCAAAGAGCTTCGCGAGGCGAAAGTAGGCGGGAATCGAATGAAATGAGAGATACGGAGGTAAGGATCAAATATACAGTGTTGTTCTTAAGTGAGCGTGCAAAGTGTTTCTGTTAACAGTCGAAGACACATGGGTGGTTACACCCATCGCGTCGCGGTGCGCGGCCGAGGTGCGAAGTTGGAATTGCTCGGGGATGAGCGACGGCCGGGGTGCATCGTGCGGGCGAGCGTGTCACACACGACGGTCGCGTCGAAATATCACTGAAACGAGCCACTTACCCTCGAGAGGGGAAAATTTGCAATTTATCCTTGCCCGACATTCTCGCGCGACCACTGTACGGAGCAGACAGGAATGGAGTGATCAGCTGACTCGGAAGCGGCCGGAAGTCGCGTGCCGAGTGGCGCGTCATTCTAATGGCGCGCGCAACCGAGAGACGAGCGCAAATCACCGTAAGCTTTAACAGCTTTAGCCCAGGTAGAACATCACGGCAGCAGCAAATGACGAGAAAATGACTGTAAAAAATCATCACCTCATTCCTCGATTATTCCCCGACGTCATTTTATGTTCTACCTCGGAGAGGACTTCCTCCAAACTCGCATTAATTTAACCAACGATTTGAAATTGTCGTCGACGTATCAACCGCTCGATCGTTTTATACGTGGATAGAAACCGTTAACTTTCCGATTATCGTCGAACGACAAGTCGTAGAACTGGAAATTGGTGTTGGCAATTTTTATTATTCTTCATCATCATTAGTTTAATCTCAGTCTGTTAAAAGTCACTTTGATTTTCCCCAAATCCCAATTAGTCCGATCGATGATTAACCGGCAGAATTGCTAACGACGACTTCGATGTAATTTATCGTTTGACGATAATGAATAGAATTTATAATTACGTGTACGTTGATATGTTAATAGAACTGATAGCAGTTTTAATTATAGGTTGCGAAACGAAGGGAAGAAGAAAGATTCCGGAAGTTATGATTCCTTACCATAAAGTTTTCGAGATCGCTTGAAGTTTAGGGATTGCGATTTTAGTCCTGATCTACAATAGGTGCTTTAAGCCTTAAGAAACTAAAGATACTCGTCAGAATGAGGATAACTGATCTCACAAGGACCAGGATTGAAAAGAGGTTAGCCACTTTCAAGTATGTAAAAAATAGATTTATTGTCAGGCGTATGTTCTCTCGCGGTAAGTCTCTCTCTCTCTCTCTCTCTCTCTCTCTCTCGTCTGTGCGTCGGATTTTCCATAAATTTCTTAATTTTCACTTAAAGGACAGCGATCAAGACAGCAAAGTCTCTCCGAGTATGTGTAACTAGTGTTTAACTTCTCAAAGTGAAGAGATTTACAGGAAGCAGAATCGATCAGTTCTCGATTCCGAGAGACTCATCGCGCAGGTTCAACGCGATGACGTCAATATAATACAATCTGTCCAGGCTGCAATACCTGCCGCGCGTTTATGTTGATTCTAGCCTCGGCAATGTAAGTGCGCGCTTTGCGCCAATCGTCGCACGCGAGACCGTCCGAGCTGTCGTCGCGAGCTGGGTCCCACGGCACTGGCTCGGAGGCTGCTAAAATTTTCGGCACACCGTGATACCGCAGACGCGAATCGCCGGACATTATCACGACGTCGCCGCTTCGTAGGAACATCGCGTCGGCCGGATCCTCTTGTCTCGGCCCGCCGATGAGGAAGATCGCCGTTTGTCCGAAGCTCACGGAGAACAGCGGCGCCGCGACGTTCACCTCCGAGTGGTCCGTGTGACCCGCGAGGGTCGAGGTCATTCGATAGTAGTTGACGATCGCCGCTTCCGCTTTGAAGTCGGTGAAGCCTAATGCTTTCGCCAAGGCGGACGTCAAACCCGACAGATCCGTCGGCATGTCGCTCTTGGAGCTCTCGGAGTACAGTTTGGTGTCCCAATTGTGGTGGTATCCCAGCGTCGCCCATCTCAGCTTCGGTAGGAGTGTCCGGGCTCTTTCGGAAGATCTGCATGCAAAATGTCAATTACAATGATTTCGAATGTCTTATATAAACCTCTCTCGAAGGCTAAACCGATCAGTATCGATGATCAATCTGAGGTTCCTTTAGATATCTAATCGCAAGGAATATTATTGACCAACAACAGCTACAGCAGGTTGATTGTGATAATAAAATCTTGGATAAAATCTATTGGCCATTAATATTTCTCGGATGAACTAGGTAACGCCACTTTTTGTGCATTTTGTCAGAGTACATTAGTGACCTTTTGAAATTTAGGAAAAGTGAAACTCATCAATTTGGGGCTCCTAAAACTCATATATGAACATGCAAATATATTTATCAGATCTCTTTAGTCTGGATCTACAATTGGTAAGTCTTGAACCTTTCGCTCGGAGCAATAAAATGTAGCACAATTTATGATAAAAGAAATTATATCACAATTTAGTGTTTCAAGCTAAAGGCTTACTATTGTAGATTTGGACTTGTACGATTGATGATTTCTTATATATAATTTCTTATACATAAATGATAAGTCAGTGTGAACTGCTGTAAATTAACCGTGTTTCTTACTGAAAACACACGTCCCACCACGATTCATTATTCAGAATATTGTGGGCATCTATGTTCAGCTTATAGGGCTCCTTGGAGTAGTCTTTCAGGCATCTCGTGATCCAGTATCGCTGGCCGCTCGACGTGAAGGGGTCCCGAATAAAAATAAGTCCTTGAGGAGAGAAACAAAGGGCAAGCATAGGATCAAATATCAATGACAATCATATTTCCACGCAGCGTTGGCAATAGTACAAACATCGCATACATAAAATCGCATACCGGGGATATCCAGCAATTCGTAGACCTTCCACTTTTCCGCGGGTTTCAGCCCAAAATTATTCCCAAGCTGCTCGCCAGTTAACACCTTCGGTTTGACGTATCTAACCTAAAAACAACATTCATGAGCAATCTGGGGGAGACGCGTCGATTAATGTTACATACTCGGACGCGATCCGGATCGTCGAAGTCGATCACGTTGCCGAGGTCGGGCGCAGGATTCCGGCTCTTGTAATACTTGAAACTGTCGCGAAACATCGCCCTTCGTTCTCCCGCGGGCTGCCATGTTTCCTCTCTCGCGTTTCACTTCCGCCGCGAGAGATGGCTCCACAGTCAGCACTCATAGATCTGTTCAGCTGCACTCTAACGCACTTCTTTCCGTATCTGAGATAAGTTGGACGTCGATTTGAGATTCGACGAAGAAAAAGACGAAGAGAGGGATGCAAGGATGTTCCAGAAGAACGACGTGTTGAAGCACGAGCGAGAGAGAACGAGAAAAGAGGCGAAAAGGTGAGGGGTAATGCGGAGCATGCGCGGTCGCGGGTGCCGCCATTTCAAATTCGAAATATCGGGCGTTGTGTCTATTCTTCTTCGCTGAATTGGCTGCACTAATTCGAGAAATTTACATATACATCGAAGCGAACGTACGAAAGTCTCACGTTTCATTGGGCGTAAATTTCTCGAAGCAGTGCAACCGGTTCGACTGAAAGGAACAGATCGATTAATTCTGTTTCACAGATATCGCGAGGCGACGTTCCGCGAAGGATTCGTTTGGAAATCAATGACCAATGACCAGGTATTTTTTGGGAGGAATGTCTTGCCTTGAGAGTGACATTGTCTTTGCGATACCCGCCATTTCGCGGTCATTACGTCATCATTGCGCGGCTGTTAGCCGTATACAGCATTACGCTATGAATATTAATAGTACCGTGATTTATTTGCGCGGGAGAAGACACTCTTATGAGATATTTATCGTTTTTCGAACTGTTAATTGTTAATAATCACGTTAATTGTATGAGCAGGGTTTTAATACAGAGCGATATTTCGAGACATTCCAGTATTTATTAACTACGAAATTTACTGACGAATAGCGAAATTGTTATTATTGCTTCGTACGCGTGTGAAAGATAAACAAAAAACTGACCTGCAAATTGAACGGCGTAGTTAAAACAAATCTAAATTGTACGCTTGTGAATTGATTTTCCAATCTCGCGATGCGATCCGTATTTTTCACAAGTACGAGTTCGAACTTTTATCACAATATTGCCATTTTTCTACAAGTTTCAGAACTTCGAGAAAATATTTACTTAAACCGACGGATTCCTTTTCGGACTCGATTTTGTAGTCATAGAATTTCTTCTCGCCGATTCTACATTTTCATTAAAACGTTTAAAATTCATAAGACGTTTCGGACGGTGGTTCCTTTTACTCGGCCCTCTCTGAGATCACTTCCAATTTGTGCAACCGGCCGAGCGTGCGATTCGAGAGTTCGACATATTCGCGAACACGCGTCTCTGACTAAGAGCGCAGAAACGCACCCGCGAGCTTGACACGTAAACTACGCGCCACCCAGTATTATTACTCAATGCGCTTTGCATATCTCTTCATCGTCGTCGTCGTTCGCGAGAAGAGATCGCATTAGAAAAGCGCACGCGGCGGTTTCCCTCGCAGTGGCGGCTTTCAAGTTTCGCGGGCCTCAGACGGAACAATTTTGCAAGCTCGCTTGTGCTCTATGCAACAATTCACATTCTTATTCCCTGCATCGCTCATTAAATCTCCATCAGCCCGAGGCGCGAAAGAAATTCCGTAAAAGAATTATCACATTCACGAATACCGAAATTCCGTGCCGTTCACTTTGTTGTTTGTTTGATCACCCAAGGAGAAAATATATTTTAACGAAGTATTCGCAGATCCGATACTTTACAAAGTGGCAAACGCGTTTCAAAGCTCTGGCAAAAATATGTTATCTATAAAACTATCATTAACCGGCTTAACCAACTGTCGATCGATATAATTGGGATCTTTTGGAGAGCAGACGATCACAGATTCGCGGCTCAATTTGGGGAGCCCCAGGACGATCGATTCGGTCTGATTGACCGGTAAATCCGCCACTGTCCCTATTGCCGCGCGCAATAATCGCCCGTGACTAATTTTAACGTGCGATTTTCGCATAATGCCATTGCCGGGAAACGGCGTGATTTCATAGCGACGAGGGCAGGGCACCTCGGCATTAGCCGCAGCCTCAGCGGCGTGATCAAGGCTCTCAAGGCTTTTCGAAAGCACCGGCTAAATTAATAGACTCGGCAAAGCCGCCGTTCGCGGTAGAGAGCCGCGTTAATGATCGTTCATTACCGTCGCTTCTATTCGCCATAAATCTCGCCCACCCACGTCTATCCACCTGAACATACGGCGGATAAACTGCTCACCCGCACCTGTGACGCGATCGATCGCGGCCGGTCGATCCAGTTCGATCGACCCAAATTCGATTGAGGGGGAGGAAAAATGATTTCATTAAAATATCGTCACGTTCGCAAATACTGCATTGAAAAAAAGAGTGCTACATTGTGTTAAGCAAATATCACTTGAATGTAATACATTGAAAGAAATGCTACATCCAAGTAATATTTATTTAATCCAAGTAAAATAGTTATTCCAATATTTCTTAGCAGATATTTATTAGAATGCATCCACTTTATTCAGCGTGGAATTCATTATTCATTTCATTACCCTGTATTTCTTTCATTTCCTCCCTAATCGTACATTACAGAGGACAACAGAGGACTTGTGTGTGTTTTTTTACTACAATTACTTGTACAAATAAAATAGGAGGATAAGATGGGAGATAAAATAAATAGATAAATAAATAAAATAGAAAATAGGTAAAATATAAATAAATAGATAAATGAAATAGAAGATAGATAAGAGAATTTACTCTCGGGGAACAAAAACGGCGAAGGGGAATTTCAACGAAGTCTTTTCCGGTTTGATGAAAAATGTCCGATCGATTTTTAAGAAAAGATATGCTGAACACACCGTTCCAATACGGTTTCAACACATTCTTCTCGATATAACTCGCAGTCGATATGTCTAATGAGAGAACTTGTTTTCGATTAATTCCCGGAAGTTAAACTCTTTCGTTAGACATCCGCTGCTTTTTGACATGTATCCAGAAAAACTGTTCGGACCATATTGAGTGTATTGAGTACCATTTATCGTCGTATTAAATGTACAGTTCTACAAAGGCACAGATCCGCCGCCATCGATAATGTTCCTCGAGCGATTTCTTTTTCTATTAATTGTACGATTAATTGTAAGACCAAATCCGTAACGCGTGGTCGAGGGAAAATTACACGGTAGAGAATCTTTCGTCTAAATGTTAAAATTTTTTTATGTTATCGACTGTTGAGTGTTTCAATGTATATGTATATGTTCCGGCAACATTTTTTACATTACTTTAATTACTTCAACTACTCCTTCGTATTTTTTAACTATTCTTTGTTATTCCAACATCGTATTTTAAATTGAAACAACGTATATAAATGTAGAACAAAATGTGTTTGCGTCAAATAACTAACATTTTCGGTATGTTAAGAAGTAACACGACGAATATGTTATTCTAACACAAAATTTAGAATGGACTTTCTGGGACATGCGAAAAATGTTAAAATTAAAGTGTAAATTTTTATTTTTATTATATAACGAAATGGAGGGTAAGAAAATGAATAGTTAGGAATTCCAATATTTGTGTGTATGCGTGTGTGTGTGTGTGTGTGTGTATGAATATAATAATTTGTCAATGTAATCTGTTTTCTGCATTGGTAATACAGATTTAATGAGCGACGTAAGATAGAAATTTTAATTGGACATTACTATCATTAAGAATCGAGTATCAAGATTTTTTTTTGTTTTCAGCACGAAAACGATTTTAAAGGAGATATCGACTTCCGTCCTAAATTTATCTCGAAATTAGAGTAATATGTTACGAAGATATTTTCTTCCCTTGGGAATCTCAAGAAATAAAAATCTAAAAATTTGGGAAATAAATGAGAAGTAGGACAACATTCCGAAGTCACAATCATGAAAACTGAATAACGAGATAGTCTTCGGAAATAATGAAAAAAAATTCTCTCGCGAAGTTATAACTTCGCGAAACAATTCCAATATTATAGGAGATTGTTCAGTTTTCAGGATTGCGACTTTTCGGGACGTTGTCCTACTTTATGAATTCCGATACTTTTCTTCAGGAATACGGCATGTCCATTCTCTCAGAGTGAAATTTCACTCAAAACAAAAGCGAAAGTTTACTCGAAGCGATAGTGAAAATATCGCCACGTAGCACCACAAGACAGTGAATGTTTCACTCAAGCTCAGATTGGATTCTGACTCCGTACGAGTGAATGTTTCGATCGATCCGAGTGAATTTGTTCCATGACGGTGGAATGCATCAGATTAACTTCTCGCAAATTCGAGTGAAAATACTCACTCGTTCAGAATGGAGAGGATTCGCTCCGTATGAGCGTGTGTGCGCGAGAAGTCACTCGAATTCGAGCGTGCGACTCGGCTGTCGCTCTACTTCCCTACTAATCTCGCTCCAAGGAATTCAAACAGCACAATTAGCGTTATCTCAGTCGTGGTTTTTTTTTCCTTTTTCGAGAATCAAGGAAGTATATCATCAACAATGTTGTTATCGAGGATCCCGATATTCACTTGATACTTTGACCCGCATGATAGCCGGTAATTTCAACGATAATATCACCGACGCTGTGTTTGTAGAATTAGTTCCATGTTACCGAGCCAATTACATCTCCATCAATTGTCTAATGAAGCCGCCGCGGTCGGTTCCGTGTTTCGCGGAGAGACCAAGACCGCGGGGTTCTTCGAGTCGATTTTTCTCCTCGGGACGCGGAGATCGCCACGGTTCACGTCGACGACGAGACAACCATCGGTTCCGTACCGAGGCGATCGCCTTTCGTGAACGAAAGATTCTCCGCGTCACCACAAGGAAAACTACGTTTCTGGCAATGTCGAGGTACTCTACGCACGCCTACTAGAAAACGTACCGGGCGGTACGCACGCGGCTCGGATAAGAGAGCGAGAGCGAGAGAGAAAAAGAGGGAGAGAAGAACGGGGGAGAGGGAGCGAAGGAGCGAAAGAACGAGCGCGTACTCTCCCTGACAGTTTCATGTCAACAAATGTCGCGGCCGCGGCGAGAAGTCGCGCCCAGTCGTCGGAGTCGGCCGAGGTCTGCCGGCGCGGCGTGTATTCGCGAGCGCTCGCGGTCCAATCGCCGCGGCGGCCGGCGTCAACTCGGGCCAATCGCGGCGCGCCCAGATGACGGCGCGCGCTAAATATAGCCGGTATATATCTAGGCCGGTCGCGACCGCGAATTATCCACAGTTGCGCGCCGGCGATCGACGGAGGAGGACGTGGCGAACGGGACTGAGTGACGGACACGAGTTGACGAGTGCGACGGTAGGAGAGAGAGAGAGAGAAAGAGTGCTTGGTGCGCGAGGACGACGACGACGATTCTGCCGCCTCGTCGTTGTTACCATCATCGTGGCAGTCGCGATCGTCGTGGGTCCATCGAGAGATCATCGAGAAGATAGGAGGTAAGAGCGGCCAGAGGTGATACGAAACGGCGCTGTGTGTACGACGCGCACGCGCTGCGCTTCTCCGTCAAAAGCGGAGCACGTGCCGCGCTCGGAGATAATGAAGTCTACCTTTCCCCGTCCGTCGTTCGTTTCTCTCTTTATCTCTCTTTCTCCCGGTGATGTGAGCTTCCTCGATGGAGGGGGGGAAGGGGGAGGAGGAAATAGCCGGAAGGTATTCCGATCTTTTGGACCGAACGTCACGGTGTGGTGGATTTCGAGCGTCGAGAGGGCGCCGTTCCGCAGTTCCGCAGTGGCAAGATTTCTCATTCGCTGATAATGCAATTCTCGAGCGATTTTCTGTTATGCGAATTAATCGTGAGGTCAATATTTTATCAATGGGTGCGACTCTTTCTCTCTTTCTCGCATGCGCGTGAATCCCGAGTTCCTCGCGATCCGTCGCACCACAGCTCGACCGTTCGATTCGCGGCGGCTATTCTCGGTTCGCGGGTGCGGGTCGTGTGTTGTTGGCAGACGTTGGATTGTTTCTCGCGACTTTTGGCCAGATGCGATTTTCGGCCGAGAGCGTGTGCGTGAGCCGAGACAGCGGGCCCCTGCGCGCGCGCGCGCGCGCGCAAGAGTGAGAGAGAGAGAGAGATCTGCGTGACGTTGCGCACGCGAAGCGATTCGAACGTTCGATAAGATCGTCGTGCGTTCTGTAATTCCGTCCCGCCCGCCGGCGAGAATCGGAGAAGCGTATGCGCGAGATGACATATTATTTAAGCTCGCATCAGACCGCCAGTGTCGAGCATCGCCGGGTTGAAGATTAAAGAATTCGACCAATCGGAGAACCGAGATTAGTCGGCTGATTCATCGAATTCTGGTCTCTAATCCGCGATTCGCGATTTCTAATATCCAGTCTGGATTATGTCCATATCGAACTATGTATCGGAGATTGAGGATTGCCAATCGAAAATTGGAACTGGATCAATCGGTCCGGAGCGAATCGAAATTCATTGATTTGTCAAATCTCTAATCCGCAATCTTCAATTTTCAGTCTCGAATATCCAGTTTCATACGAACTCTATGGAATAGCTTGGAAAAGGTTCCGATCGGAACAATTCCGTGATTCTCTAGATTCTCGTTATATCGTTCAGGAAGAGCGGAGATTTTCCGATCAAAAATCGTCGAATAATCTGACAGTAATTACTTTGATACCGGCTTAATGGTGATTTACGCCAAAGTCAGATTAAACAAATCGATGAGTAATAATAAAAATTGTCAACATCAATTTCCAGTTCAGTCATTCAACAATAATCCAAAAATTAAAATCATTTCTATGCCGCAACACACACACACACACACACATGATAGAACAAATAATACTTGAATGACAGCAATTTTAAATGGCCAATTAGATTAATCAAAGTTTGGTAAAAAAGTCGCTCCAAGGTCCGGTTTTTCCTGGTTAACTTGTGGTTCGGGCTTAATCCGGTGATAACATAAAAATTACGTTTCGTTCATGGTTAATCATTAAATCTGAAAAATTATCAGCACAAAACCACCGGTTTAATGATTAACCATAAATGGAGGGGCATGATTTTTGCATTATCATCGTTATAATTTTAAACTACGGATCAATCGAAAAATCGAAAAATCGGATCTAAGGGATGTAGAGTAGCTACGAATCGACGCGTTGCTCCTGTCGGGATCGTCACGTCGGCCGAAGAAAGGCGCCGGATTGCGCCTCGACGTTATTATCGATCACGATAATTACATACGCTTCGCGAATTACACCTGACACAAGGTGTTCCCCGGGACGCGCGTGTTCTTTTACGGGCGGCCGCGTGACCTCGCGCGATCGATTTCGGCGATTCCGAGATCGCTCGGGATCTCATGCGCGCGAGCAATCTCCGGATCGCGATGCGTTCGTCCGTCCGTCCGTCCGGTCGATCGATCGCCGCTGCTATGATTTGGTTTTAGTGCCGTGTTTGTGTGCACGTACGTGCCGGCACACGCGGGTTTGCGGGATCGCCCAAGGTCGCGACGCCACAAAGTAGAACTTCGCGCTGCCATCGTAGTTGCGTTGTGGCCGCAAGAGCTCGCGAAAGAACGCGCGTCGGGTGCGTGTGTGATGCGCGCGCTCCTCTGTGTGCGTGCGTGTAGGTGTGCGCGTGTGCACGAGCGCGTTCTTGATGAACGCTCCGTAAATGGAATCTGAAAATTCGAAGATCGAGCGAAATGCGCGAGTTGAAATTTTGACACCACTTGGACGCTCTTAAAGACGGTTCTCGCGTCTGCCCGAGTCGGAATTTTCGTTCTGCATTCAATTTATTCTACATTGAGCCCTTGTTTACAACCTTGCTTCAAGCACGTGTAGCAATAAGTAAATTGACCAATCACAGTCGTTTATTAAAAGAACAATCGACCGTGGTTAGTCAATTTGCTTACGGCTTGCGTCTATAAGCAAGATTGTAGGCGAATCCTCAAAGGCCTTCTATTGCGCTCTTTTGGTGCTATAAACTGAAAGTTACTTCCGTTGTCTCCATTTGAAGACGCGATGTAGAATTAGATATTTAACACAGGGAGAAATTTAACAAGATCTCGACTCGGACGGTAGATCTACCGTAACTTTTAACAGCGGTGCTGTTATCATTGTATTGCCGACGCGCAGCTTTTTTATCTTATATTGTACTTGCAATCTAACGATAACGACATTGTAAGTGACGTTGAAAATTACAGAATGGATTTACAGACTAGATAAGTTGAGGATCGCGAATTAGAGTCGAGAATTCGACGAATCGACCAATTTGGACCTTCGCCCCGCTTTGTTCCTTTCAGTCAACTTCCATTCTTCAATCCACCGTTCGCAATTCCCGACATCTATTCTGATATAGGTTTAATAACTGCCGCGACCGAGATCGTGGAGGATTGCAGATTAGAATTGAACGAATCGGCTAATTCGGAAGCTCCGCTTCGCTTTGTTCCCGTTAGTCAAGCTCCAATCTTCAATCCGCGATTTTCAATCTCCGATCTAAGTGTAATAATTAATAACTAGCCAGACTGGATCTCGGAGACGCAATCTGAGGATTGCGGAATGTTGACGACTTGGTCGCGCGCTCTCGCCTTATCGTTAGCACGTTCGCCGTCGGCAGAACGTCGCTTTGACAACGGCGCGCGCGTCTCGAGAGATCGGCCGGTTTTATCAGGAGCGCCGATACTCGAGGAGGCGCACCGACGAGGAAGACGCGCACGAGAGGCTCCCGCCGCACTTAGGAAAGCAAATTATTTTCAGGCGTTCCGAATTCCGAGATAATTTATTCCGGGCTAACTACTGCTACAAATCGCACGACCACTAACTCCCGTCCGTCCGTCGGTCCTCGTCCGTACGTCCGTCCATTTGTTGCAGCTCGTATCTCGTAAACGCGATAATAGATAGGCTACTTCAAAGACGCGCAGACGTTTGCGGTTGCACATTTGTATTCGTGAGTATGCACAATACACGCTGTATACGAGTGTGTCGTCCCACTTCTCTGTTTCGCGAAGCGAACGTCGTTTCAGTTTCGAGAATACAGTTGCTGTTGACACGCTCGAAAGTGGATTGCAGATAACGAAGGGATAAACGCGAGATGGGTGATGTAAAATGTAACGTCAGTATTGCGCGTATATCATGGTAAAAAAATTTGCCATTGAATTTGACACATTTCACGTCATCCCAAACAGTTCGCTCCAATTTCCGTGTTAATTTGACACGAGATGAATATGTTGAGAGTTGTTGATACGTTAACACAAAACCAATACGTTAATCGAGACTGAAGTATAAAATGTGTTATTTTAACTCTCACACATGTTGAATATGGACGCAACATAAAGTGTGGAGATAATATAAATGCAATATGTTGAATTAACACGCGGGCATGTTAAAGATTTGACACAGAAATTTCAACAAGGATCGATTTGAACACAAGTATAAAATATTTCCTACTGTGTATGATAATTTCCGATCGATTGATAAGTAATTTCCGACGCGGTTAGTGAGCGATTTAATTAATTACCTCTTCCTCGAGCGACTGGAGTACACGGGAGGGATTGATAAATTGCTTAAAATATCGTACGATAAATAGAGATAAATAAGAGGTAAACAATAATATTCGTTGCGAAATGTTGCGATATATTTTCTGAATTTCTTCAAGTGAAATTTCACTCGAAAAGTAGGGAAAGAAATTTAAAGAGAGTATCAGGAAATACCCTCTAAATTACTTGGGCTGAAATTTCCGCTCGAAATCGAATAATTTCTACTCTTAAATTTCAGTAATCATCTCCACACTTTCAATATAAAGTTGAATAGTATAAAATATTAGAAACAAAACTTTATATATCCTCATATTTCCCAACGTCCCAAGGTAATTTGGGTGAGGGGTGAGAGATCACTGGGATCGGGACGCCCCGTGTAATTGAATCAAACTGCGTTCGCCGAGAGAGTATCACGTTTTCGTTTTGATTATTCGCCGGCGCTATTAACGATAACACTCCGCCATTGTACGCTCTCTCGTCACTATGCGTACAGTTGTATACGTATTTTTCTTTGCAATGGCTGCTGCGGCCGTGGTTTCGCGCCTATCTTCGCCTGAGTGTCAGGTATGCATGCATAATAATATCGTCCGGCGTTTATATACGACGTCGTCTCTTCTCTCCAACGTGCAACGCGATAGCGAGAGCATCGCAGCCGGCTATCGTGAATCTTCCGACGGCGGAATGAATCAGGTGCTGCGTGAGACGAGATGAGATGCGATGCGTTGGGATGGGCATCAACGGTAAAAACCGTCATTACTGAATTATACGACGAACGTTGAGAGGGAGGGGGGGGGGGGATAGAGTAAAAANTCGCGCGCGCGCATACCGCCCCTCTGGTATACGCGATGCGCTTTTTACAAGATTATCGGGTGAGATCGCGCGTGGGCGTTGAAAACGACACCGATTTCGGTGCGAGGAAAGAATTTCTGCTATCTCAATTCCCTCGA